CCCCGCAGTGGGGAGGGGAGGAGGGGGAGGAGGGGGAGGAGGGGGAGGCAGAGAAACAGTGCAGCTGGAACATGCCCTCTGCCCTGCACGCTGCTGACCCCAGGTCAAATCCCCAACATTGCACATGATCCCCCAAGAACCACCAGGAGTGATTACCTGAGCAGCACTGGACGTGGCCAAGCCTTCCCCCCCAAAATGAAAAAAAGGGCTGGAAAAAACCCTAAAGCAACTTGTGTGAGAGACATCAGCCCGAAGGCAGTTACTAGATGTACATGATGGATTAATTTCTCTCCGAAAGTATACAGCTCTATAATAATCCTTGAGTGAAGAAACCACTGATTCACGTAATTAAAAAAAAAATAGTGCCGAATTCTTGCACAAAACCCTCACAGAGAAGGACTATAAAATCAGCTGAAAGGACGGCAGGACGGCAGACAGAATGCCAGACTCCAGGATGGGTTCCCAGGAGAGAGTCACACAGAACTCTCCAAGGGAGGGACAGAGACAGACAAAGGTCAGTAACAGCACCTGGCCACACCCAGGCCCCGGGCTCGATGACTAGCAGGATGGAGGGCGCCAACACTCCACGTCAGGAGGAGGAGAAGGGAAAGCCAAGGCAGGAAGCGAGCGACTCTGCAATCCTGCGCGTGCATCCTCCAACCCGACTGCTGGCCAGAGGACCCGAGGAGAACCCAATCCCCAGGGGGCTCGGGTCCCTGCCCCAACCCCCAGGGAGCGCGGGTTCACGGTGCAGACTCGGGCACTCGGTACTGCTGGGTTGGTCCTGGCCGGGAAGGCGTGTCCGTCCTGCAGCGCCAGACACACTGGGCCGAAACCTGTGGAGCCGTGAGGGAAGGAAGACCCCTCGGTGCTGCCCCACTGCGCGGCCTCCCGGAGACCAGAGGCCTGAGCGCAGGGCGTGCCGGGGCTTGACAGGGCTCAGCCACCCCACCCCGGGCGCCCTCCAGCAGAGCCAGCGATCGACACCCACACCTAGGAGCCTCCCACACAAGCCCCACGGGCCTGGAACACACGCGTTCCCGGGCGCCTCGTCTGCCCGTCCCTGCCTGCTTGAAGACAGGCACCGCGACTGACCCGGATTCTAACCTCGGGCTGGCGAGGCTGCAAGAGCAGGGCCTGTTCACTGTTGCCAGTGACTTGGGGGAAAAACAAAAGAAAACTCGGGGCCAGAGCAAGAGTACACTCAGTAGGCGCGCGCCTTACACACGGCCGTTTGATCCCCACCCTATGCAGTCCCTCAAGGGCCCAGGGCGACAGGACAGCTGGAGGGCATCTGCCTTACTCGAAGCAACCGGGCTCAATCCCCTGAGCACGGCCAGGAGAAATTCAGGAGTAAGCCCTGAGCACTGTGGGCATGCCTCCTTCCTAATCCCCCCTGCAAAATAAATAAATATATATATATATATATATACACATACACATATATACACAGTCCCTCAAGCCTTCCCAGGATTGACCCCTGAGTGCAGAGCCAGGGGTAAGCCCTGAGCACTGCCAAACGTGGCCCAAGTAATAAAAAAACAATAATACAAATTAAAAAATAAAACCCACTCCCTGCTCAGGATCCTGTTTAGCGTGACCCTGGCTGCTGGCGACCTCTCCAGAAGCCCAGAGAACACGGAGCGTCAGTCCCTAGCGCCTGACTCCAGCGTCACTTCGTAACGGATGAAGGATCTTGGTTTTCCTTTGCTCTTGAACAAAAGCAGCGGCTCATTATAAAACAACGTCAGAGGGGCCCGAGAGAGAGCCCGGTGGGCTGTGCATGTGCCTTGCAAGTGGGCGGCTGAGGTCTGAAGCCGGCACCGGGGACCAACGAGAGCAGCCCAGCCCCGAAGCAGAAGCAAAAGCAGCGCCCAAACCATCTTCGAGCCGTCCGGAAGCGGGGGCCTGATCTCTGCCAAGGCTGAGCTCCTCAAAGAGGTGCCAAACACCTCAGTACCAGCCGCCCCCGCCCCCGGGGGGACATTAGAAAACCAGCTCCAGTGAAGACTACGCCCACTGCTCCTGGGGGCAGAATTCCCACAGCAAAGCAACACCACAGCACTGCTTAGGAAAGAAAGACCCGGAAGAGCCTTCGCGGCTGCCACTTCATCCAAACCCGACCACTTTAAAACAATCGATCCAATCAGATCGCCTACAAATCTGGTCAAAAAGCAAAACACTGGGGCTGGAGCAACAGCACAGAGGGTAGAGCGTTTGCCTTGCACGCGGCTGACCCGGGTTCCATTCCCAGCATCTCATATGGTCCCCTGAGTACCGCCAGGAGTGATTCCAGAGTGCAGAGCCAAGACTAACCCCTGAACATCGCCAGGTGTGCCCCCCCCCGCAAAAAAAAAGCAAAATACTAAAGGTCTGTTTCTTATCTAGAGGCTATTTAATGCAAGTGAAAACCACATCTGCTCCAGTTAGCTGAGGGACTGCATGAGGGTCTCTCCCTTAAAGGATATCTACTGGGCCTGGAGCAATAGCACTGCAGGTGGGCCTTTGCCTTGCATGCGCTGACCCCGGTTCGATTCCCAGCATTCCATATGGTCCCCCGAGCACCGCCAGGAGTGCTTCCTGAGTGCATGACCCATAATCCCTGTGTATCACCAGGTGTGACCCAAAGACCAAAGGGGAAAAAAAAAGATATCTATCATGACACAAAGTTTACCAAGGTTTGTGAAAACAAAGACTCACACAGTGCATGTTCAAGGGACTAGGGAGAAAATGTTCTGAGCGTGGGAGGACCAAATTCGATCCCCAGCACTACCCGGACTCCCAAGTCCTGTCGGAAATGCCTCCTCCCCCACCACATACACACACACCCACACACACCCACACACACACACACACACACACACCAAGTCTACCGAGAACTTCTTGACCCACTTGTGCCATTTCTTGAAGGGAAAACACGTCTAACTTATCCCTTGGTCAGTAAAATGGGGAACGAAACCGGTGACTCCCGAACAGCCGAGTGCTGCAGAGTCTGGCCCCGGCGGGCAGTGGAGGCATCTGCTTAGCCCAAACTCCCACCTCCACTGAGCCAGAGAGGAGCGCACTGGGTACGGCACCTGCTCGCCATACGGCTGGCACAGGTTCAATCCCCGGCACCCCATGGGCCCCCAAGCCCCGCCAGGAGTAACTCCTCAGCACTGCTGGGTACGGCCCAAACACCGAAACAAAATCCGCGACTGTAAGGCCCACTTTCCCGGGGCTGACAGATGCAGGGTGGAAAGCACTTGGCCTGCAGGCGGCGGTGCCCACCCCCACCCCAAGCACTGCCAGTCCTGAGCAAAGGGCTGGGAACAGCCTCCGAGCACTGCCAGGTGTGGCCTCCCTGCAGCCCTCCAAAACCGTCAGCTTCCCGTAAGCACCTTGCTCTTGGTGACAGAGACTGGCCCTGGAGACTGAGGCAGGGGGACGACTCAACGTCCCAGAGCACACGGGCTGCCCGACGGAGCCCTGCACTCCGTCTCCAGCACGACGCGGCCCCCTAAGCACTGCCAAGGGGTGCCCGCCGCCCCCCGGAAAAAGGACAGTGGAGACCAAATGCAACTGACATTCAACTCTGATGCCCACGCCCCAAACGGGTCAGCACCGTTGTAACAGCCCAGCGTCCTCAGGGCCAATTAGGAGCGATTGTCTTCATGGAAATAAAAATCCCCAACGAGAAACCAAATTTCCATTAAGGGCGGGGGGAAGGGATCTATTAACAAATAAAGAAATAAAAATACGCTCAGGGGTGCGAGAGCTCTCAAGAGGCTGAGCAGACACTCTGCACTCAGGGTGCCCAGGCTCGACCACCAACAGCACCACAGGGTCCCCTGAAGGGGGCCCAGGGCTGACCCCCTCCAGCACTGATCCGGAAGTGATGCCCGACCACCACCAGGGCCCCCAGACTCAATATATTTACAGGATCACCAATTCTGCGAGTTGCAGGCGTGTTCCCACAGCCGCCGTCTCCTGTTTCCGTGACGAGACGTTCTGCTCCACAACAGCCCACCAACCCGGCCACGCCAACAAAGATCCGATGTGAACCCTCGTTAGTCATGAGGGTCCGAGTGAAGGAGGAGTGCTTTTCCCAGGGAGAACTGTCCTTAGGGGAAAACGCCGAAACAGGCTGGGGAAACCCCACGTGGACAGAAATCCCTGCGTGGTGGCCCCTGCCGGAATCACAAGGGCCAGAGCAGGGTGCGTCCAGGTGCAGGCCCCCCCACCCCCCCATGCCCAGCACAGGGAAACACCTCTGGCGGGAGCCCCCGGTGGCTCCCCCTCGTCTCAAGCAGTCGCGACTCCCACAGGGTAGCAGTCCCGGGGTGTTTCAGTAGCACCATGCCACTTCCGTTCACAGTCCCCTAGAACAGCTGAGACGCCTCAAACCTCCTATCTTCTCCCCCACACCGGAAAAGGCGCCCCAAGGACGGAGTCGGAGGAAGGGGAGCCGGGGAGCCCGCTGGAGGGGGAGGCCCCTGACCTCTCCCCGCCATCCCCGCTGTGCAGAGCCTATACTCAGACTTACCGGTTCCTCCGCGTTGTCCTTCCTGCCCGTGCTGGGCTACCGTGCCATCTGTCCCCCGAGAACTCCAAACCATCGGGGCTGGCGTTCAGGAGAGGCCGTGCACGTGGCCAACCCAGGTTTCAGCACCTTGCCGCCACCTGGTTCCCCCAAACACCAAGCCAGCAGAAGCCTCAGAGCACAGAGCCGCGAGCAGCCCCTGGGCATAACCAAGCGTGGCCCCAAACCCTCCTCCCCCACCAAGATACGTGCTTGTTCTGAAAGCGTCCGTTTTGGTAAAATTTCTAGTGCTTAATTCTCTGAATCAGGGGCACCTGCCTGTGCCGACAGCGTCATCAGAATGGACCGTCAGCGACTCAGTCAGTGGGGGGTGCTGGACCCAGCCCTCCGCGCGCCCGCCGTGGGCGGCTGCCTCCAGACCACTGTCCTCCGGGGCCCCGAGCCCAGAGGGGCGCAGGTCGGGGAGCGGGTCACTTACCTTGTGCAGAGGAAGCACAAGGAAGGCGCCTCCCCCGCTCGCTTCTACGATTATGGCAACGAATCTGGGGTTGACGGCGCAAAAGGAGCTGTCCCAGGTCACGCGGGAAACGCGGATGTCGTCGTAGCACTGGTCGTTCTTCACCGCCTGCCCGAACACGTGCCGGAACTTGCTCTGCCGGACCACTCGCCGCATCGTGTCTGCAGGAGAGCGAGAGCACATCGGGGTTAGCGGCCTGGCGGAAAGCAGATCGGGTCCGCTCCGTCCGGCGGCGAGGTTAGCTGGACAGACGGAAGCTCCAGGTCGGGGCGGGGGGAGGAGGGGAGGCCACGGCGTCGTGTCCCTCTTCCCCCCAAAGTAGCCAAACGGCAAGCACAGGTCTCCCTCAGCTGCACATACCCAGAGAACCCCGCGAAAGGCACTAGGAAAGGAATCACGGAGGAAAAAAATTCTTTTTGACTCCAGTTCAAGCTCCACAACAGGTCAACAGTTTCAATTAATTCCAAGAGAAAGACCAAGGCGAAAACAGTAACAGTAATAATAAAAAATAAGCATCACGAAAACCTTTCGGAAGGGTTAGGAACTGAATAGTAAACACACACACACACACACACACACACACACCATCCCCACCCACCACCACCACCTCTTCCCTGGATAACACAGACCCCAAGGATGAGACATGGCGCAGGACTAAGCCCCCGTGCCTCCCTAGCACACAAAAACAGACCCACAAGGAAACAAACTAACAAACCCATTCCAGGTGAGGTTATCTGGGGAGTGCGAGGCTACAGGCTACAGAAAGGCAGAAAAGTCGGGGGCAACACCCCAGGGGTGGCCCTGCCAAGCCCCTGCCTCACAGCCGAACTCCAAACCAGCAGGCTCTTCCTCGCTGCCAGGCCGAGGGGCGCCAGGAGTAACCCCTGCTTTTTGAAAAAACAAAACAAACGAAACAAGCGCCTTTGCCCTCAGTCCGTGGGGGTGAACGTTCCACTTCCAGGCACTTCCCCTCGGCAGCAACACGGGTTCCACGACCGTCTGTGGTGGAGAACGCGAAGGACGAGTGACTCTCCGTGCTCCCACGAGTCTCCACGTCTCCCTCCAACCCACACAGTCAATCTGCAACCGGGAGGACCAGCAGGCCCCACCTGGCTGCGGCGTCCGACCCTGTCCCTGGCGCCATTTCCCCGGAAGGGAGGGTGGCGCCCAGAGAGCCCTCAACAGTGTGCGATGACTCAGTCCTCCCCCCTCGAGCCTGCCCACGGCGAGGCGCCCACAGCCTGCCCTCTCACCCCCGTCCCCAGGGCCAGCGCGTGGCGTGTGCAGAGCTGCCCCTCAGCTGGGCGGGCAACAGGCCTGCGGCGAGTCCACGCGTCACTCACTGCCCGAACCCCACGCGATGGGCCTTCCCGGCGCCCCCTCCGAACCGTACGTGCGAACGCCGCCGTCCACGCTGCCCGCGCCCTGCACCTGTGAGCACCTCTCGAGCACCTCCGGGAGCTTCCCCGCCAAGCAAACGGAAGGCCTCCCGTTCGGCAAGCGGCCAGCTGGCATCAGGGCCCGTATCGCCATCCGCACAAGGCGGCCGGGATCAGGCGCCCCCCGCCCCACCGCCGGGAGCACCTTCCAACCAGAGTCCCGAGGTCAGGGCTGTGTGCTCTGCACGCACAGGACCCGGGTTCCAACCCCAGGACCCTCCGCTCCCACCATCCCCTGAGCACAGGTGGTGTGTCCCAAGCCTCCCTGGCACTGCCGAGCCCCAGCTTCGGCCCTCCAGCCCACTCTGTCGGGTACCACGGGGAGCGGACACTGGACACTGCGGTGAGGTCCCCCCAAAGTGAACAGGGGCGGAAGGAGCATGCCCTCCTGCCAGCCGCCGTCCTTTATAGGCAAAGCTTATGCAACCCCGAAACACGGACACCTCAACTGAAACTTACCCGGAGGTCGTTCGCCACGAAACACAAGTGACACGTACCTCCAGCCCTTCCCCAAGTCCCAACAAAGGAAAAAGGGCCGGGAAGTGCACAGGCCCCCAGATGCCAGGCCCCCAGCACAGCGCCAGGAGCAGCCCGGCCACACCAGGCGTGACCCAAACGCCAAAGCCAGAGAGCAGAGCCAGGGGGACGGAGGGACCCTCCAAGAGAGCACATGGGGGGGCGCCCGGAGCAACAGTCCTGCGGGCAGGGCTTGGCCTTGCCCGCGGCAGACCCGAGTTCAGTCCCAGGCATCCCTGGTGGTCCCCCAAGCACCGACAGGAGAGACTCCTGAGCGCAGAGCCAGGAGTGACCCCGAGCATGATGGGTGTGGCTCAAAAGGGGAGGGGGAGGGGGAGGGAGAGACCCAGACGGAGGCAGAGGAGAGGAGAGAGGGGGGAGAGAGAGGAGAGAGGGAGGGAGGAAGAGAGGCGCAAATGGGACCCATTAGGCAAGAAGAGACTCAGTGGGGCAGATGTGACTGAAATATGCCCGTCTCGGGAGAGGAGGCTCACAAGAGGGTGCTCGTTCTCTCCCTCTCTCCTCTCTCAAGGCCTGGGTCTCGGTCTCGGTCTCTCTCTCTCTCTCACCCCTCCCAAGAGGAGGGTCTCTCCCAAGGACAGGGACGCGGGGGGAGGGGAGGGCCGTGCTGGGGCCTGCCGGAAGCGGCCAGAGGAGCAGGAGGCCAGGCCCCTTCCTCCCGGCGACGGTCTCCTCGGGGCAGCCAGCACAGCTGACACAGGGATGACCCGGGGCCCCACTGACCACCGGGGGCTCCAGGACACCTGGTGCCAAACGGAGGGATCACCTGCCTCCCCCCAGCCCCCCTCCTCTCCCGGCCCCCGCACGCGTACACGGAGCAAGTCTGCGTTTCTGCCCTCGGGTCCCCCGAGCAGTGCTCGGCCAACCAGCCTGGTGGCCCGACAGGAGGGCCAGGGATGCTGGGGATCACCCAGGGGCCTCCAGGGGCTCACCCGACAGTGCTCGGGCCCCCAAGGCTGCACCCTGCAATACTCCGGGCAACAGGGACTCAACCGGGACCAGCCACGGGAGGAATGCAGGAATGTGCCCTGCCCCGGGACGTCTCTGCGGCCCCGACACCTCACTTTCCAAGGTGAGGAGCAGGTGAACGAAGTCACTCCCTCGGGAATTAAGAGGCCATTTTCCTCTTGGCCGCAGTGGCCAGACACCAGCTCGTCTCCGACAGCGACACACACTGACTAAAATGCCGAGTGCTGGAAGGTCTCGGCCCTCCACAAGCAAAGCCCTTGGCCGCAGTCGCTGAAAGACGCGACACAACCCAGCCCTGCACCAAGCCCCACCCCCGCGGGGGAGTTTCTCTTCCTTCTACTCTGCCGTAAACTTTTGTTTCTAGGGAAAAAAAGGAAATGCTATATATATCTGCTTACTGACACACTACAATGCCTTCTTATTCGCTGCTGTCTGGGGGCCACATCCGGCGGCGCTGGGGGCTTCCTCCTGCCTCTGTGCTCAAGCATCATTCCTGGCAGGGCTCCTGGGACCACACGGGGTGCAAATCCCTCCCCTGCTGCCGACGCCTCGGCCCACTCAGACGCCTCTGACCGCGTTTCTACAGTGCAGGCAGCGGGGACTTACTGGGCCCCTCCCACGCACGGTCCTCCTGCTACAGCCACCGAGCTGGCCCCAGGGCGAGGCTGGTGCTCCCGCTGTGCTGTGTCCACTGGGCGCCCGCCCTGGGCCCCGCTGCCCTCAGGAAGGAAGTACGGCCAGCTCTGCTACACGCGCCAGGTCAGGCCCCCAGGCCCAGGAGACAGACAGCACGAGCACCTGGGCGGGAGTCAGGCCGCCTCGTCAGGAGAGGCACTGCAGCACACGGGAAGTAGGGCAGGCGCCGACTCCGCGCTCAGCACCAGATTCTCTCTGGAAACGGCGCAGAACGCAGAAAGCCGGAGGGACCCTCCAAAGAGCACTGCGGCAGGCGATGGGCACGTTAGAACTGGCACGGGAGAGAGGTGACAAGCACACGATACGCGCCAGACACTCTTTCAGCCCCAGGACCCGACACCAAACCATCAAGACTCAAACCCCAGGGGCCGGAGAGACAGCAACCCCGGGTACACCACACGCCCACCCCACCCCTCGCCCCCCCGCACCACCAGGAGAAATTCCTGAGTGCGAGCCAGGAGTGAGCCCTGAGCATCCTGGGTGGGACCCAATAAACAGGTTCAAGGCCCAGAAGCAGAAGCCCAACATTTACGAGAAAATTACCAACTTTCTTTGCTTTTTGCTTTGGTGGGGTCGCACCCAGCGATGCTCAGGGCTTGCTCCTGGCGCTGCACTCAGGAATCACTCCTGGCGGTGCTCAGGGGACCACGTGGGACGGCGGGGACGGAACCTGGTCAGCCGCAGACAAGGCAAACGCCCTCCCCGCTGTGCTGCGAATCCAGCCCCTGCTAACGTTTCTGGGCCTCAGCTTTCTCGTCTACGGAATGAAAGGCACGGCTGGGCTAGAGACGGCTAAATGAACTGAGCATGCACTTTGCTTGCTGGAGACGTGGGTTCGAACCCTGGCACCAGACGGCCTCCTTAGCGCTGCCTGGAGGGACGCTGGTGCACGAGAGCAGCCGAAAAGAGCTCTCAAGCAGCTCCAGGTGTGCTCAGGGGCACCCCGCCCCCGAATTTTAAAGCACAATTGCTATTAGGATCCCAGCTAACTTATATATAAAAGCTGACCCGCTGATTCTACAATGAGAGCATCCAATTAGATTACAGGTATCTTTCTCATAAAAAGTGATTTTAAAGTTCACTTGGAAAGGATCCCCCCAGCCCCCAAAATAGATCAAAACAACTTGGAAAAATACGTAAAAAAGAATCCAATTCTTTTTGCCTATTTTTTTCCCCAAATGAATTTTCAAATCCCTGGTCAGATTTTATGAAGAAACAGGATTTTAACGGGATACCTTTCCCCTCCACTGTCCTCTAATTTCTTTTCAGCAATGTTTGAGTTACCAGTGTTGAGGCCTTACATCTATCTTCTTATATGACATTTTTTGAAAGTGCTGGAAATATTCAATGGAGAAAGACGCCTTCTCACGAAAAACAGTTCTACGTTTAGTGCTACCGTTCCACAAGGAACCAGGGGAGATGTCCAGTCCTGGGGGTCGGAGCGAAAGTACAGCGGGGAGGGAGAATGCCTTGGACACAGCCGACCTGGGTTCGATCCCAGCATCCCATATGGTGCCCCA